CAAACTCACAATGAACGTAAGAGCTTTCTTGAATTAATTAACAATTCTAGACTCGAATGAAATAATTTATTCTCAGATTAATTATTATAAATCTTAAAATACAAGATTATGTAGCACTTCACTCAACATTTATTTTCTTATTGTATCGAGAAATGTTATTTGAAGCAAACTCTGCTTTATTTCAAACAAATGTAATTTTCCAAGTGTAAAGCTTTTCTTGAATGTAGATGATAATTTTTTTCTGTGTATTTTTAGGTATAAATTCCCTCTGTTTTAATTTCTTCAGACTGGATTTTAACACTGTTTTCATAAATTATTTTAATTATTTGATCAATATCAATTAGTATTTTATACCCAAAATTCTAGTACATGGTCAAATGTAATGCTTATCAAAAATCTCCATGTAACTAATGTTTGCATTAATGAATTATTCTTCAGTCAACTGTGATGTAATAGCTGAAGGGTATTTAATTCATACTCTCCTTTAAGAAGTAATTTTAACATGGAATATCTTATAAAAACCAAGTTCATAAATTACGAAACCTTTTAATAAAGTAATATCCTTCTTTATTTTATGTCATTTTGCTTTCCTCCTTTAACGTACAAAAAGTATTGGGATTAAAATCTGAAATACCCAAGCCCTGCATTTCATTTAAACTTAAAACTAAAGTCTTTTCGAGTTAATGGCTAATGAATTCCGCTAAAATTACTTTCCAAAGAATTTAGTTTTTGTAGAAGTTGCAAACCTTAACGAGTGCTGGAATTAATGAAGTTTCTTCGTGTGACAAAAATAATTAAACCATACCTGTAGCTAAACATTACCATAATGATGTTATGTTGCTAATATATAATACGATCCATAATTAAATTTTAATCAAACGCTTACTAGATAGCTATATATTAAGGATATGGGAATATGGTAAAATTGACTAGAGTTTAATGTTACCTATGGATTGTTGGATACTTGATAAAATTGGTTAATATCAGCAATATATCAAATTAAACACATTAATTTAAGCACATTTTAACTAAGCACACCTACCTTACTATTTAATTGGAAAATTTGCTAAATGAAAAGCCTGTTTGTATTTAAACTTCGTGAAATAATTCGAATTAGAGATCATCAGTGTCTTTGCAATACGGTAGTAGATGAGATAAAACTTTTAGCTACTTATTGATATTAATTCTTTCAAAAATGTATAGTCTTTAACTATAAACAAAAAAATGATAGTTTTAGAGGAAAATTAATTTGTTTGAAATGTTTGTTTTCAAATAACTAATCAAAAACTATACATTGTATCACTATTTTAATTAAAAAAAAATAATATATTGCATTACGAGTATGAAAAATTACTTTCACAGAAGCGATGTACAATATTTTTTCTACGACCACAAAATAATTTTACCAAAACAATGTAAAATCAAGATATCTGGGTATAAAGGTTCCATCAAGATGTGGCTGGATTTCGATTCGTTTTTTATATGCCTTATGATTATTTTTTAGTGTTTTACAGATGGTGTTTTGTCAAAATTAAGAATATTGTGACTCCATTTACAAACTATTTTATAGGATGATAAAGATAAAATATTAAATTTCGATGTTTTACCAGAGAATCTCATTAACTATAAATCGTATAGAAAGATGGACTTTCCATTCTCGGTTTCTTTTTTTATTAATGGTATTTTCAAAAATTGGCTATTTTGTTTTCGAGTTACAAACAAAAGTTGCTTTTTCAAATTTTCTTATGTGGCATTATCTCGCTTATTTATGAAAGTGGAAGAAAATAATTTATACCTTCTTCAGGCAACTTTTTGATAAGAATCTAGTGGCGTAGTGAATTTTTTTTTTTAATTTTTCAAATTCAAGTTATAGCATAAAGTTTTTTCAACACAATGGGACACCCCCTCACAATACTAGAAACGTCTCTAAATTGTTAAATCTTTATTCTAGAGACAAATGGATGGGGACAAAAGAACCGGTAAGGTGGCCACCACGTTCACTAGATTTAACGCCCCTAAATTTCTTTCTTTGGGATATATTAACGACAATTTATACAAAAATACTTCTAATAATATTGACAAACTAATGCAAAATTTTATACAGTGTGTTAATTCGATCTCCAATATCCATATTTATAACGCAATTCGGAATGTTTTCAAACGATGTCGTTCACGTGTTGCGAATAATAGACATCAATTCGAAAATTTAATCGAATTTAAATTAAACTTAATCTAATTAAAAAATCAATATTAATCCTAAAGCATAGGCAGGATTCCCCACTCAACCATTTGCTGTTGGGTTCTAATTAACAGTGCTGTTCCTAAAGTGGCGCTGGGAAACAGTAACAAAGCCTACACAGAACACGAGGCTAATAACTTTAGTAGTTTATTCCGATGACACCAATTAAAAAAAGAATAGTATTTTTACAATTTGTAACGGTTGGAACCGTTATTTCGTTATTTCGACACAACCACCTCTTACTCAAATGTCATTTGTCGTCTTGTGAGATTTATTTTTGATTTGGTTCACAGCGACAATTAACTTGATTTTATTTTAAACTGGGTCATCCGCTGAATTAGATGATACTTATTTATGTTAATGGCCGTCTGATTTTATAAGGTATGTTTTAATAATAATATGTTATTAAATATATATATTTTGTGCAAGGATTTCTTGAATAAATTGTCAAAATTTAAACAACCTCAATATCAACAATGAATGACACATGGTTGGTTTTATATAAAATTTTATATTATTTTTTTGGAATAAGATATTATGCTTTACTATATATAAATATATTAAATAAGATTTTTCCTTTTCATATTAATTTTAGTGTCTGTGAAATTATTCATTAAATAGTTTGAAATTATTTATTTAATAGTTAAAGCATTTTATCTAAATCCTTTTCAAATTTCATATTTCCTATCTTAACATTTTAACCCTTTTTTAGCTGATGGCTATATCTAGATTGTTTTGGTTCAATCTCTAGAAGGTTTTGGTTTAATCTCTAAACGGTTTTGGATTCATCTCTAGACGGTTTCGATTTCATCTCTAGACATTTCATCTCTAGAAAAGTTCGAATACTGAGGATTATTCATGTTTCATCTCTAGATAGTTTTGGGTTCAAATACAGAAGAACCATTTATCTAGACTATCAAATGAGAAATGTTTTATAGATTGGAGTGAATAAATACCCAATTTTACCTTTTAACTTACCTTTTGTACCGACAGATAAGTGCATTCATTTAACCAGAAAATTGTTTTAAATATGAAAAAATTCAAAATATAATTCATCGCTAATTGAAACAGTGTCACGACATGGTCGCGAAAAGCAAAATTGAAAAAGTTAAAGACCCTACGACCTGCGCTATCAGGGTTATCTCACAAAAAATATCTAGGAAAAAACAAAAATAATAGAGGTAGTTACTTTAAAATTCTTTTAATAATTTGTTAAAACTAAATACATAAGATAAAGATTTCAAAATAAATGTTTACAATTTAATCATCAAATTGATTTTATTAATAATATGGACATTATATCCAAAATAAAAATTATGCGTCTGACACATTTGACAGCTTATGCGGAAAATAGATTCATATTCACACACGGGTGGAAAGTAGATTTTTATCCACACGCGTGTGATAAAGGGTACTTCCCATTAGACTAAATAATGCGATAGTGGTTATAGGAAAAAAAGTATGATCAATATTCTTGCAGGTGAAATTTGTAATATTAAATTTCTTAATTTCTTTCTATATTCTTTTGGGATTTCTTAGTTTACCTGTAACTAAAACTTTAAAATGTTGTTTTTAGTATTACAGCTTTCAGTCCCAAATTGAAACGTGAAACTTTATTTAAATGTTTTTAGTATTTTTCATCCATTGTTTTTTTAAATTTTCATTTTTAGTATTTCTACTTTTTAAGAATTATTTATAATTATAAATATATGATACAAAAAATTTAAAAATTTTTTTATACAAATCTCTTTTTGTGTTGCCTATATCTGTGATTTAGAAAGGTTATAGAATAAACTAGTTTTTTATTTTTAAGTTTTTGGATGGAAGTTCTCCTAATTGTAATAAAATGTTCTGCTTACATAACGGTGTTGAAATATTATATACCTACCAAAATTTCAATTTGTAATTCCTTAATTACGTTTAGTATAAGAAGTGATCTTGCAAAATTATTAAATGGGTTGCTAAATAAAATACAATTTAAAAGTTTAATACAAATTATCTTACAAAAAAAAGTTTGTTTAGGCTCTCAAATTACGATTTACAAATTAAATAAAATCTTACATTTTTAGCTTTATGTAAATTCATGAATGTGGAATAGATTTATTATAAGTTTAATAGTAATTTTAGTCCTTAAAAATGTTTACATTCAAATAATTTAGCTCTTTCAAAAGTGCCCAGCATAATGTGCTCAAATCTATATAATCGTTGGATTTCCGTTACGATATCAATATAGTATAAATTTTATCCAGTGAATATTACAGATCTTTGCCTGAAATTATTAAAATACATCACTTAAAAATTTACAACTTACTGTTTAGACCTTCTTTTAGGTCCCTCACTTTAATTAATCCTTATGTATCCATTTATCAATTTTAATTATTATTTTCTCAAATATTTCATTTGAAACACCATAAAATTAAAAAACAAATCTGTTACCCCTCATTATGAATAAAAATGTTTCCTACAAACACAATAAAAAAAAAACTGTTAACTTATAAATCTAGGATTAAAAGTTTAATTTTCTAATATTATATTTTGTTATTTTCGCATTAAGTAAGGACCCATAGATTCCCCATTGTTTTAAAGGATAATTCTTATGTAAGTTGTCCCGAGATATCCTTTTCTTTTATTCTCGCATTTTACTCTTAAAGCACAAACAGTGAATAGTATAAAGAATATTTTATTACCTAATAAACATAATAAATAGGAAACAAACTACTTTCGCTACATTGGATATTAACAATTGCCCATTTTGTTTCAGGTACTGATAAACGACAATGGTTCTCCTGTTCTCTCATCTACCACAAGAGTTGTAGTAGGCGTGGAAGACATAAACGACAACGTTCCTGAATTTGAACAAATTTCCTACGAAATCCAAATCCCGGCGATAAAAAGTGAAAGCGATCAACCTCTCTTCCAGGTAATTTCCTTGTATTTTCCGGGGATATGGAAAAATCTAAATGCATTATCCAGACTTAAATCTCTCTCTAGAAAGTCGTTTAGTTGGATGTGTTTTTTTGAATTCCAAAAGCTTAGGAAATGTCACCGCGAGGAAAGAAAACAGTAGTTTAAATTTAATGGCTGTCACTTTACTAGTCATTGTACTGTGATTTTTCTGAAGGGTATTTTGTAAATTACAATTATCTCGATTATAAAATTATTGAGAAAAATTGTTTTTGTTCTTTGCTTTTCCGTAAATATAAAAAAATACAAAAATCTTATAGTCTATCAGTTATTAGAAAAAATGATGAGCTAGGGTCAATTTTTTTCAGTTTTAATTACTAATTTGATTATCCGGAACATAAAATTACATTACATTATAGTTTAGTTACAATACAGGGTGGTGCAGAATAACGAGCAATTTTAAAAAGTCTGTAAAAAATAAGAAAGAGATCTGGTAAACGGGTAGACCAGGTGATGTCCCCATTTCGAGAAATCTGCCCCATCCTGTATATTGTAAAAAAAAATGTTTTAGAAAATATGCATTTTAGCCACAAAGTTTCAAATAAAAGTCGTTCTGTTTAAGATTACTTATAAAAAAGGTCTACACCCAAAAAAAAATACCTTCACTTCAATCAAATTTATTTGACTTAAGACCCGTTGCAATTTGTATATAACGAAGCAAATATTTTCTTCTCAAAAAAATTATATGCTTGTATATATATTTTCGAAACAAGGTTATAACTGGCTTTATTAAAGAATATCCATTCGATTATAAACAAACTTCTTAGGTAGAAAAGTCTTCTGAGAAGAAAATTTATAATTCAAATAAGTTCAATAAAGAAATTTAATTGTTTATTTTATGATATTCTCTTCATCCAGAACTGAATTACTAATAGCAAGAATTATAGGAATTATGATTCTTATATGAAGAGTTTTGTAAACTCGGTTCTTTCTTCGATATTGACATGCAATTTAGTAACACCCTGTATAATATCAATTTCTTACTAAAACAACATTAGAAATAATTTTAAAAATCTACTTATACGTACAAAGAACGAAACATTGAACATCTTAAAGGAGAACTATTTTCATATCCTCAACAGAACTGTCATATGTTATTGCCTGTTTCCTTTCATCATTCAAACCAATACAATTTGAATAAGAAAATTGATACATCATTGAAAATAAAATTATATAGGGAATCCAGCAATATAACTATTCGTTGCGGTACTTTTAATTTTAGCGCCCTCTAGTGAAATAAAAACTAACAATTGTATATTGTAAAGTGTGACAATTCATTTAAAAGCTAATTTTATTAATAATTTATTGCATAACATAACAAAATATAATTGAATGAGACGTGAACTTAAATAATTGAAAAACCTTGCAGCGCTCTAATATTATATTAATTTAATCTCAATCAACCAAAATAAACTAATGATACGAAATAAATTACTTATTATCTCCCAAATGAAGTGCCACACTTTACAATACGTAAGTGTTTTATCCAAGAGGGTGCTAAAATCGAAAGTAATGCAATGAACAGTAATATATCTGAATTCCCCATAAAATTACCTTTATATTGATGTCATATTTAGTACTTTACTTATATAAATTCTATTGATTAGAGTGACAGAGTATAGAAGTGTGACGTATGACAGTTGAGGATATGGTAAAAAGGATATGAGATAAAAATTTACCTGTTTTGCGTTTTTTTACATTTCTCCTTCAAGATATTTTATTTTCGGTGCCTCACCCTGTATTAATATTTATTGCTCTTAGAGTAGATTTGATTGATGGTTTCATGTACAGAGTATATACAGAATTTCAAAACATATAGATGGTTTGATTATTACATTGAATTAAATAAACAAAAATAATCTAAAATGATCAGAAAATAGTTGTGTGTTGTGTGTAAATTATCGAATATATTTTTAAGAAAATGATTCATTAAAACCACAAAAAAAACGCTTAGTAAGGGACACCCCAAAATTTTAAATGACGTAATATTTGAATTTTATTGTTTATGAAACGAGTGTCTTGTTCACATTATCTCATAATATTACATTTAATGTTTTAGTTTCTATAATTAATAATTAAATGCAATATTATCCGATTTAGAAAGTGTATATACGTCTGATTAATAAAATTGACGAAAACACGAAACGACTTGAGACGTGAAAAATCTATACTCAAAATTTCTAAGAAAACTTCTGTAATAACACAAAATGTCTCCTCTAATATTTCTGATACCTTCGAAAAAGAAAATAAAAGTCAGTTGATTTACCTACATTTTGGAAGAGAGAACTAGAGTTATGGTTTAAAGCCGCAGAGTCCATTTTCCAGATAAATAATATCAATTCTAACAATATAAAATTTGCTTATTTAGTATACAGTGTGATCCTGACTCGTACAACATATTAAAAACACAGCTAATAGAATGTTATCTCATATCAGATGAAGAAAAAATGACTAAACTTTTTTCTCAGTGCGAATTAGGAGATAAAAAAACCTAGTAAATTATACAGAGAGATGTTTGAATTGGCATCTGGACAAATGTCTAAAAAACTTATAATTATATCTTGGCTTAACAAATTACCTACAACAGTTGAGCAAGTTATTCGAGGTTTTAAAGATAAATTGACTGAAGAAGACCTAATTAATATGGCTGATGCCATGGTCAAAACCTCAGTCAATGTTGTTTGTGCTGAGCAGAAAATAAAAGATGCCATTGTTGTGAAAACACCATTAGCTAAAAAAAGTAAACTAGATCAGTTAATTGACAAATTGAATGCATCTTTGAATTCAAGAAGCAGATCAAGATCGAGGAGTAGAAAATGGTCACCTTCCAGTTCCAAACGTTTTCAAGAATCAAGTGATATTTGTTATTACCATAAAAGATTTAAAGAACGAGCTACAAAATGTACAAAACCCTGTAAATATGAAAATAATTTGGAAAATCATTAATCCGCTCGTTAATGGCGACTAACGAATCTGGCAAAAGAAATTGTCGCCTTTTTATTAAATACAATAATACCAATATTCGATTTTTAATTGACACTGGTGCTGATGTTTCAATACTACCAAAAATATTAAATAAAAATCTAAACCACTATACGCCTCAAATGAATCGAAAATTACCACGTATAGAAAAAAGTTTTTAACTGATAGTTTGGGATTAAGACGAAATTTTGGATGGCAATTTATTATTGCTGACATAGATCATAAGTAATCATAGGGGCTGATTTTTTGATGAATTATGGAATATCTGTTGATCTATAAAACAAAAAATTAAGAGATACAGAAACCAACATCGAAGTCAGAAAAAAGCTACACATTTCGAACACTCCTATAATTAAAACCATCAGTAAGTCTTCTTCATACTATGAGTTATTGGCACAGTTTCAAGATTTGACCCGTACATCTTTAAAAGTTCAAAGAAACTTATCGAAATAACTCGCCAAATCATAACAGAAGGACATCCTGTTTACTCCAAAGTACGAAGGCTAAAATCTGAAAAACTGAAAGCAGCAAAAGAAGAGTTTGAATTGTTACTAGAAAATGGGATCATACGGCCGTCTAAAAGTCCATGGTCAAGTCCATTACATATGGTCCGTAAGTCAAATGGAAGCTGAACACCTTGTGGCGATTATAGATTATTAAATGCCAAAACTGTTCCGGATCGATACCCATTACCTAATAGCTTTGTTCGGCTTACCAATTTTATAACGTTTCAGAACGATTCAGAACTGCGTGAAATTAGTTGCGCACTAAATTACACACGAAACAGTCAATCCTAGAGTGTTCTAGGACTAGATTTGGGGAAACCCGAACACGTAAATTTAAATGCGCATGATTATAACGATTTTAAACCGTTCTCAAAAGTAAGCCGAACAAAGCAAATATAAAGGATTTCACGCACTATCTTGCTGGAAGTAAAATATTTTTAAAAATTGATTTGGTTAGAGCCTTCCACCAAATTCCTGTAGATCCACAAGAAAGATAAAACAGCTGTTATCACTCCATTTGATATATATGAATATTTAAAAATGCCTTTCGACTTGAAAAATGCAGCTCAAGCATGCTAAAGATTTGTGAACCAAATTACACATGATTTTGAATTCTGTTTTCCATATATTGATGATTTTTTTATTTTTTCACAAAATGAAACACAACATCTACAGCACTTAAAGGAATTATTTTCTAGATTGCAAGAATATGGAATTGTCATTAATCCAGAGAAAAGTGAATTTGATGAAAAATAAATAATATTCCTTGGCTATATGGTCTCTTGTGAAGGTGTTAAACCGTCGGCCGAAAAAGTTGGAGCTATAATAAATTACGATATGCCAACGGACCTAAAACCTTTGAGGCGTTTCCTCGGAATGGTAAATTTTTATAGATTAGCTATCCCAAAAATGGCAGAAATCCAGGATCCACTTAATGATTTCCAGAAAGATAATCCTGATAATTTTAATCTATTAAAAAAGGCTTTAGCTGAAGCTGCCTTACTACACCACCCTGATAGCTCTTCTGAATTGTCACTTATGGTGGATGCTTCTGATTTTACTATTGGCGCAGTACTTCAACAGAGGAAGAATGATGAATGGAAACCCTTGGGTTTTTTCTCTAAAAAATTATCTCCACCACAACAAAAATATAGTGCGTATGACAGGGAACTACTGGCAATATATGAAGCTGTCAAATATTTTCAATACTTATTAGAAGGGACAGAATTTATTATTTTCACGGATCATAAACTCATTACTTTTGCCTTTACAAAAAAGTCAACTAAATTCACTCCTCGTCAAAGAAGATACCTTGATTTTATTAGTCAATTTTCTACTAACATTCGGTATGTTTTGGGTAAATTCAATCCAGTAGCCGATGCTTTATCAAGAATTAATTTAATTGATTTTTCAAATCAAATAAATTATCAAGAATGGGCTAATTATCAAGCAAAGGATAATAAACTAC